GGAAAACAACCGACAAAGATCAAAAACATTTAAAAATGTACAATTTAGCATTTAACACAATGCTATACTTAAAGCTGACAAAAAGTGTAATATTCGCAGCATCTTGAGTGGTCTATTTATTCTCGGTATCCTGGGGGGTTTATTTTAGCATTCTGAAGGTATCTGTATACTATGTTAAAGAGCGGTAGTCGTCATGTGCAACATTTGTGATGATAAACATTGATTTGCCCACAATCCAATCTTCTAATGGAAATCACAAGTATGAGGTTTGACCTGGGCGCAACTTGCACTAATTACTGCCGGTGACTCCTTTGATACCTCAAATCACCTAATAAAAGCTTGGTAACGTCTGTTTGTACTCGTTGATCTGTGCAACAGCCAAAGTCGCCATCTTTGTTTATGTGAGACCCATATATCTCGCGCATAGTTGGCGCGACAACTACCGCACTTTAATCTCGCCTGAATGTGCTGTCACAAGTGTTATTGCAGGAATGGGGGGGATTGATGAAAAGTGCATCAATTTGCGTATAAAAATTTGCCTGTCATGTGATCTTCACTGTTGGTATACAGATTTGGGATCAGCTGAAGTTATCCAAGAACTTGCATGTATGTGAGAAGGGCCTACAATAATTAATTGCAACAGCACACCTTTAATCTTAGTAAGGCATTGAAGAGGTACACATACATATTAAATGAAACAGTTGCAACTGAACTCAGCTTAAAATCTATTCAGATTCTGAGAGATATATCCTGTATATCTTTATGCAGAATACAAATTTACAGGCTTCATGGTAAAATATCTACACTGCATTGAGTGTATGTACAATGAACAAAAAACACATGGCAATGTTATCAGTAGATATGCTCTATAATAATGTTCCCAGTAGGTTAAGTCCTAATATTTAAAGGAACCCTCCTACTCGTGGTTTATGAATTTGTTGTTCAGGATTATTGAATTGCTCAAGCTGCTAAAACAAGGCCAATACACCTTTCAAGTGCCCTCCAGTGGTGAAGCACTAGTGTGACATGATAATGTACATGGGCAAAAGCAAAGTTGTCCACAGCAATACACTTGTATAGTTATTCATTATTAGAAATTACCATTATACCAGTACATCAAAATAGTAGTGATACTGTGAACTGCTTTTTTTGTTACATTGATTCAAAATCATAGCAGGGCTCGTCACTGGAGGACATGATTTACTGGAAAGATATAAAAAAAAAAAATGGTTTTCTTTGGTTTACCAGTTTGGGTGGAACATTACTGTATTTGAAATAACTAATCTTACTACACATGTCTATTACAAAAATATACTTAGTGTATTTCACAAAAACAACTGACAAAATGAGGAGTACTGCACCATCACCAACATCAATTGTAGTAATTAAAAAAAAAAAATATTTACAAATCTGAGTTGAGTATCCAGGTCTGAATCCTGGTAGTGATACCCCCATTCTATGTATTAAAGAATTACTTTAATTTAGACCATGTTTATTACATCTAGAAAACGATACAAAGTAGAGGTTTTATAATTATTGTTAGTAATCACCACTTACATTTATAAATACATTGAGGTATCTCAGTTAAGCAGCTGTTATTGGAATGCTATGTACAATGCAACTGCAACTTATGTGAGTGGTCAAGTGGGTATTGTGTTTTATTTGGCTGCTGATACCAAAACATAACATCAGTATTCAACCACTTGAAATGACTAATGTGATGTCATCACAATCAGGATGTGCCCTCTGCATCAACAACCACCTCTCCCCTGTATTTATACTCTTAACTCTATACCGATATTTAAAAAATATGATATATCGGCATAAACTATGAAGCAAAACTAGGTTGTTCAACATATAGGTAACTGTATTATTTTATACAGACAAAAGTACATCAATTCTGAATATAGGAGTCCACATTATTATTGCTATTAGGAGATAAAATAATTAATGGGTGAGGGTACAACACCTATATTAATACTCTTAATATTTGTAATGCTTCTTGCTGATACATGCGAGATACAAAATCAAGCCAGCAACTGACACCATCTTTAACAAATGTTCTGTGTTGACGGCAACTGCCTGTGTCACTGAATGTACCGGTACTTATTGTAACTTGCATGTGTAATGATGTGAAGACACTAATTGCATATACGTAATCAAAGCTAAATATTTGGTTGATATTAATGTTCTGTAAAGAGCATGCATGCTAAATGATTTAACTTACAATTTTCCTTATTCTACTCCGTTTGACCAGGCTTGCTCAGTGCTGTATTCCTGTTAACTACTGAACCATTTTTAGTGTCTTCTTGTTCAAAACAAGATTATACTAAGAACTTCACAATTGTCATCAGTGCTACCAGGGTATGTACTCCCAGACATTAAATTTTGGTCATAACCGCATCATAGAATGCATAGTAGTTTGTATATATGGCCTCTGAACAAATCTATAGCACTTGGATTTATAAAATGAAAATTACTGGTAGACCAAGAGAGACAATTGAGGCAGTTTCTTGGATAAGCTACTGATCAGAACTGGATGTCCCCTCACTTTTTCAAGTTTCTTGCATAATATGTACAGGGAGAAAAAATGAGAATTCTCATGATTACGAAATGTGAAAAGTGCAGACAGTACTGATCGCAGGCCACAATAATGGAATCAGTCTATATAAAACTTGAATAAATAACTTGGATATAAAAAATGTATGAATGTTAAACGTTAATTTAGTGGTAATGATCAGTATGGAGAATCATAATGTTTTCGTTGAATTAGAACATGGCATACAAGTAATGTAACACAAATAGTGTTACATTTTATAATGAGTACAAAGCACTTGCATGTAAATACAGATTCAATGGCACATTTTGAAAATATAACTTAATGTCAAGGTTATATTAATTCAGAAGCTTCTAGTATGTACGAGACAACATATAAATTGACATGTACAATGATTTTAAGATGAGGAACATTGCAGCATGTATTGTCTTTTCAATACAGAGCTACTCGGACCCAAACTGCTTAACAAAGTTTATATTTTAACCGCCGACGCCGACATCGTTTTTTCCTGTTCAATGGAGGCATCCAGCAGACAATGTCTTTATAATAATAAACACTATCAAGTTTATTATTATAATTTAAAAAAAAGTTTAACTATCAACTTTGTTAAGCAGCTAGGGTCTGTGCATATTCTAGCACATATTTAGCAGCAAAGTGGTGTATTTATCTTTTCTGTTATGTACAACAATCTAATGAGCTCCTTTTGCCTCTCCCAGTGAATGCATACCAATAAGACTTTCTCTCTGTTCTCTGTCTTCAGGAAGTCTACACAACAAAATGCAGAGATAAATCATATGAATCCAAGTGAATTTTAAAAACAGTTTGTATTATAATCAGAATCATTAATAAAAAATTTAATTTCAGATAAGATTATGCTAAGATTAAGGTAGCGAGAAGGGAAATTTTCACTTTTTTCTTGATTTTTCAAAAATTGATAAAGCGGTTACTTTAGATCTTGATACATCACCCCAGGTTTACAAAAGATTGAAATTGCGAAATAACGTTGCTCAAATTTGTGTTTTAAAGCACTAGCAGAAAAGACTACAACTGCCGTTTCGTGGATATTTGCATAGTGTTTATCTTTGGAAGGAATTAAATGATAACATCTTATCTGTATACTCTGTTGTTGACGATTCTGATATAACGGGTGATAAGCTTCCAGTTGCAAACAATGCGTGTTTATCTAACGT